CCCTGGCGGGGGGAGGGGCCCGGGGGGGGCTCTCCCCCTGCTGCAGGCCTGGGGCAACACCCCGCGCACATCACAAAATTCATTCCGCACAGGCCTGGGAAGCATCGGCAGGAACGTCCCCCTGTGTCCCCCGTGGCTAAAGCGGCCCTAGGCGCTCTCCTGCACAAGAGCGTGCACACGGCCCTGGCTGCTCTTGTGCAAAAGCACGTGGACGTGTGGACGTGCTCTTGCACAAGACCTGTAGTGCAAAACAGTTCTTGCACAAGACGCCCGCCGTGTCGACGTAGCCCCTGGGTCTGTTGCCCCCTCGCGCTCCGCTCCAGTTCAGCCTCCTCGTCTCTGCTGGGGAGCTAAGTCTGGTGCCGGCCGGATGCAGCCTAGAAAGCCAGCAGATCCAGCCTGCGGACGCTGTGGGGAGCCCCAGGCAGGCTCCCTTCTTGCCTTGCCCCCCCTGCTGCTCAGAAATGCGGCTGCTGGGCAGTTTCATTTTTAAAACTGAGCCCAGCGGGGGAAGGGGAAAGTTTTAGGAGCGGCTTCCACCCCCAGCACAATCCCATTGGCCGGCTTCTGGCCAGAAACTGGCTAATGGGAGTTGCTTGTTTCAAGAACAAAGGGGAAGCACAAAGGGCTCCTAGTTACTCACAGAGCACAGGGCGGGGCAGGCACATTCAGGAAGGGCTGCTGGCTGGTAAGTCTCCTGGCAAGAGCTTGCAGCCAACCGTCCACAGGGAACCTCCGCCAACCATCCTCTGCTACCATGTCACGGACTCACAGCACTCCTGCACTCCCAGCTCTGTGTGGTCCCCCGGAGCCTCCACCCCCACATGCAACCTCTGATTGCTAGACCCAGGTGCCTGTCAGCCAGTGTAAAACAGGAGAGTTGATTGTTTGAACACAGCACAGGAAACCCTCTGGGCTCGGCTCAGCACAGTAAACCTAGGTCTGTCCTGCATCCAGCTAGGCTCTGGCTGCCCCCCCTCTCCACCACCCCCTTCCTTCTAGTCATTCATCCTGGAGCGCCAGCCCCCAACAGTTCCTTCCCTGTCTTTTGTCTTCTGCTCCAGACAAACAGATTCTTGGGGCCTTCTGTTCTTTGTCCTTCCACTGGCCAGAACTGGCACCAGTCCAGGGTGCTCCATGTCTCTAGGCCATTGTCTAAGGGTCCTGGCCAGGTGAGGCCATAACAGGTCTGCAACAACCACCCCTCTCCCACCACCTTGTTAAACATGCAGCACGCAGGGAAACTCAGCCCCACGCCGGTTCATGCCACAGACTACAAAACCACACTGCGCTGGCAGGGGGCTGCAGGTCGGGAGTGCGGGGCATTGGCAGAACTGGGGGAGAACCCTAGGCCCAGATACAGGGTCTGCAGGTCAGGAGTGCAGAAAACCGGCAGAGCTGCAGGGTAACAGGGTTAGCGGGGGATGCGGGGTGGACTCCTCCCTTCCTCCAGCAGCCTATAGCCCTGGTTGCTGCATGGGGTGAGCTAATGGAGCTGGTGATGTCCCGTCCTTTCCCCCATCCCCAGTGCTGCTGGCTGCCACCCTCATACTTCCCCTCCTCCCCCCGGCAGTGTATCACTGGATAGAGATGCGATCCAAGATGAGGGCTCCGCGGGGCCCCCCCAAAAAGCCACTGAACGAGGAGGCGGCGGCGGAGCTGGGCGCGGAGCTGCTGGGCGAGGCCATCGTCTTCAGCGTGGGCGGCTTGTGCATCTTCCTGGAGTACGCGCGCCAGGCCTCCAACACCAGGAAGAAGGAGGAGGAGCAGAGCAGCACCCTGCTGGGCCTGCAGGAGCAGGTAGCCGAGCTGGGCCTGGCTGTGGAGACTTTGGACACGCAGCTGCGCGAAGTGAACCGCCTGCTCCTGGCTGTCTCTGACAGCGCCAAGAAATAGGGGCCTGCCGGGAGCGAGAGGCCAAGCAGGAGCCACCCTGCCCGGGGAGGACACAGGGCTGGCCACGGCCGGAAGGACCCGGCGAGAAGCCTCCTGACGAGGGCTCGGGGATCCCGGTTCATGACCCTACTCAGCTCCTGTGGGGCTGGAGTTTTCTAGCTTGTAAATATTCATCCATTAAAACCCACCTGCTGCTGAGGAGGCGGAGCCATGATTAGGGGTGGGGCTAAGGGAAAGGGGCGGAGCCATAGCTCTGCCACAGCACAGGTTGGCACCCCCTAGAAAGTGAAGTGGATCAGAGCTCTTCCCTCCGTTTTCCTGTGTCCTGGGTAGTGGGAGCCACACCTCTTCTGGGGTGCTACTATCTTCAGCATCACTCCTGGGGGCTCACCCCACTGCCGCTGCCACTCCTTCGTCTCTAGCCTCCCCTCCAGCACCAGCCGCTTGCCAAAGGGACTGATTTTTCTGTGACTGTGGCACCCTGGCCCAAACAAGGTCCCCGACCCCTGCCACAACAGAAGGACTCAGGGGTCACCTAATGAAATTAGCAGGTTTAAAACAAACAAAAGGGGTTCTCCCCCCCAACGCAGTGCACAGTTAACCTGTGGAACTCCTTGCCAGAGGAGGTTAAGAAGATGAGGACATTAACAGGATTCAAAGAGCTAGATAAATTCATGGAGGTCAGGTGACTCAATGGCTGTTAAGCAGGATGGCAGGGATGTTGGCAGTGGGAACGGGCAACGGGGAGGGATCACTTGCTCATTCCCTGTTCTGTTCGCTGCCTCTGGGGCACCCGGCCCTGGCCACTGTCGACCGACAGGACACTGGGCGAGATGGACCTTGTGGTCTGACCCAGTCTGGCTGTTTTTATTAACAAGAAGCTCCCCCAGGAACCCTCCCCCAACTGTGGCCAGTACCCAGCGTCCGCCTAGGAGCTGACGTCCCTGCCACGGGCAGCAGAGCGAGTCCTGGGGGAACAGGCTTTAGGGCTGGTTCCTGCCTCGCTGGATTTGCCCCAAGGATGCAGAGCAGCAGGGGAGGGGGCTGCAGGGCTCAGGCCCAGTCTGGACAGAGGCAGGGGTGGGGAGCTGCGGGGGGCTAGGCCCCGCAGAGGGAGAGGGGCCCGGTTGTGGGGAAGGGGGAGGAGATGCAGAGAGGCCCTTGGCCTGGGGTGATGCTAAAGGCTCAGGCCGTGTGGGGCCCCAGCCCTGCAGCGTGGGGTTCCCTGGGTACCAGCAGGGGCCACGGCAGCCTGGGGGAGCCACGGCTCTGAAAGCAGACCGTGCCCCTCCCCCCCAGAAAGCCAAGCACAAAAGGGGCCCATGTGCAGCGACTGCTCCGGCGGGAGGGG